ATACATAAAGATATGTCTAGCTACAAATAGTGCTGTTTGTTAACACAGTAGACGCGATCGAGTGCCGTCTATCAGAGGACTCCGCACTGAGATTTACTATTAAACAGCGTCTAAAAAGAGACCGCCCACGGCAGATGGCTAAAATGTGTTCTGCACATGCGCATTTATATCCGTCCATAGACCCTGGAAAAGCATCTAGTTCTTCACTGTCATGACTTCCTTTAAAAAAACTATTTTTTACACATTTTAAAATTTTTTTGAAATGTAAAATATTGTTTAAAGTGAAGTCCCAATATTTGGGAAAGCAAGTTTCAATGTGAACATGTCTCTGCAGTGATTTTTCATTGTGTTAGATGTGCTTCTTAGCAAGTCTGCTTTTTGAGACTGATTCCTGGATTGTGCCTGGTCAGTAAATTTGATTTCACGTCTACTTGTTGACGCTTTCTTTAGTAAATGTCTTTGCCGTCTAAACGTAGACGGTCGCTATTAAAAAGTAGACGTTAGCCCACGGAAATGCGCCTAGGCACATTAGTAAATCAGGGCTCAAATGTCTGCTCTACCTCTAAAAGCATAAGATATTAAAACAAAAATAAATAAATAAAAACTGATCTTATACGTTAACAAAAAATTGTTTACATCCGATCCAGACCAGAAGTGACGCCCTAATGTCGCTCTGGTCCTCCTTGATCATAGAAGTGAGGAAGGACAATTTGGTCTTTCCTCACCTCTGTGTCCAGCAGCCGCAAGCGCCGGATCGGATCCTGGGTTTGCCAATGCGACCGGTAAGCCCAGAAAACATTGGCGAACGGAAGGGGGGCATCCCCTCCTGCTGCTTCTAAAAGCAATCCAGCAGCTAAACAGCCATTCAGATTGCTTTTTTGTGAAAGGGAAACGGCTGCTGAAGAAAATACCGGGGGTTATGGCTGATAGTTTCAGCCATACCCTGGTATACTACATCGAAACCACAACATATATACTTATTTGGTCTTTTAATGGCTATACAATTACATTTAGCTAAACATTATACTATTTTGTGTTAAAATGTTAAGCAAATACAAATACGTTTTGTCATGGATGAGGTGATCAGGAAAAGATGGTGCGGCGTGAGACTAGTGTAATGCCCTCTAGCATAGCTAGGTGAGATTTGTGTTAGTTAGAGGCTGAGTAGCAGCCTGGGGATGAGTCAGCCTGTGAGGGAGGTAGGAGTTCACCTCAGGACAGGCTAGGGAGGTTATGAAGGTCAGAGCTTCTGGAACCCTCCCACCTCTCCAGAAACCTGAGCGCTATCTGTAGGAGGGACGGTGGAGGAGGCTCAGATCTGCATGTTTGAGGGACCTGGGCCAATCCTCTGGCAGGAGACTGGGCATGGTGGCCAAATCAACCCTTAATTATCTCAGAGCCTTGGAGCAGTCAGTGAGTGTCGGGTGGAAGATGGACTGAGAGGAAGGCTGGAGTGAGGAGCCTAGGAGGGGGCCCCAGGGAGGGGAGCCCACACCTGCAGGCAGGATTCTGGAAGGGAGGTCTCCTCTGTCCCATCGTCTCCTTGGGAGGATGGCCTGTAAAGCAAGGAAGGAGCCACCCCAGCATAAGGCCTGAAGGCAGCCACCAACCCATCAAGCAAACAGGAAAAGACAGAGTGAGTATTGCTACACCCCCTGGGCCAGATAAGAGGAGAGGGTGGTCAGGTGCAATACCCAACTACTCTTCATCCTCTTCATCTCAATCTACAGTTCTTGGGCCCCATTGCCCAGGGAATAGCCTCAGGCAGCTGGGTGAAGAGGAGGATTCATCTGGAGTCTGAGGAAGTACACCAAAAATCTTTGGATGCTCATAGAGGAGAGACATATTTTTGTCCACATTTTTGTACACAGTTGCTCTAAGTTGTCCTCAAATTTAGTTTCCTCGGACATCCCAAATACCCAGGGGCGGACTGACAACTCATGGGGCCCCTGGGCAATAGGGGATCATGGGGCCCCTGTGTCCTCACCCACACTCAAACCACACCCAAAAAAGCCTATGAAAGGTACTAGGGGCATCTCATGGGGCCCCCTACTGACCCCGGGCCCTCGGGCAGTGCCCGAGTGCATAAATGGTCAGTCCACCCCTGCAGATACCCCTAGCCCCCATCCAAGTTCTTAACCCCTTTAATAAAATCACAAAACCAAGCTCAAGGACTGTTCTTTGACTCTATTGTGCAACGTGTGGAAGAAAATGTGTGTTGCCTAGCTGTGCAGAGCTTAAGGTGGACCCAAAATCCAGCATCTCCTAAAGCAGTAGTGCTACACTAGTATAGGCAAGGAACAAGCAGAAGGTCCTAAAGGATGGCAAAAAAACCCAGTCAAAGATGTAACCTAGTTTAAGGGACGGTAGTTTGTGTCAGCTCCAAACCAGGAGCAGGTACATAATTGAAAGCCTGGACAAATAATAGAAATGAATCTTGTTTTCACTAGAAAAACATATCAGAAAATGACATATACAGCTTCCAAAGTTTAGGTACCAGTACCTTTGCTCAAGTGCTGAATACGTATTCTGAGCCATATTTAAAGGAAACCTATGATTTGCCCATGCAGGACAAAACAGCAGGTTTACTCTATTGCACCCACCTCCTGCAACACAGCCAAGGTCAGCACCAGGAGATCAGGATACAGTAGAATCAGGGGGCAAGCTGGGTCAAACAATGGATAGCAGAATGTAATTTAGGTCAGTAGTTAGAGTAAGCCAAGAAATTTATAGTTATCCAATTCTTTAGGGTCGAAGGGGAAAGCCACAACCCATCATATGCTATGATCCAGGAAATTTACCTTTTTGTCTTCAATTCCTCCTAAAAAGTAGTAGTGGACTTCCTAAGCCTAGGTAAACCTGTGCCCTCAATCTTATAGCTGTATATCTGTAGTTTTAGATTCAAGGGCACTGTGCCTGTTAATGCTAATTTTATGAGATTTGGAGTGAGGTTTAGTGATGTCTCTACTGTGCTGCTCACGGTTCTCCTTGTTGGAGAAAAAGCTGCAGTGTAAAGCTGTTTAGTAATAGAATTTTGTTTGACATTTTTTGTTAAGAATATTTGTTAATTTTCCTAATCATTAGTGGGGTCAAAGCAATTTTCATTTCAACTGCAGTGACAAAAAAATTCCAAAGAGTAAGATGGAAAAGTTTCTCAAATGTACACATTTCTAACAGTGTATGTGGCTTAAGTTCAATCATTCCAAAATCGACAGTTAAAAGCAAACTAAATCTTTCAAACAAAATTCAAATGCTTTGAGAATTTTCGTATTCATTTTCCTAAGAAGATTTGTATGAATTGTCATTCAAAATTCTACTAGTATATACCTAAGTAAAGAATTTCTTTGCTTATGTTTTATTCATTCTATGGATCTCTGCTTTCTGATGCTCTCCTGCTCCTGTTCGATTATTCTCTTATCAGCTCACACAGTCATCAGGGACCAAACTAACAAAATCCTCCCACAGCTTACTAAGAATGGTAAAAAAAAACACAGGAATAACTATTCAGCTAGATTTCTCTATCACAGTAAATCTAAGCCCTAATGGAGGGGTACATGCATGTAAAAATCTGGACCAACCCGAACACATTGGCACTCTCATCTGTGGATTTTTATATGTCCTATTTAGTTGTTTCTACTAGAGGGCTCATGATTATATGTATGGGTTCATCCTCTTAAAAAGGGTTTGGGGTTTTATATCTATAGAGGGTGGGATCAACACCTTGTTTTTATATATTATTAAAGTTTTTAGGAGTATTTGGACTTGTTCTTTTATCGTATTATTCCCCCTGGAGTAGTCTAGTCACATGTACCGTAATATGGTATGCCATCGCGGTTATCTATCACTATAGCTTTTAAGAAGAGATTGACTCCAATATTATGGCCACCGGAGGTTTCCCTCCAAGTATGAGTCAGTGTCTGTACTGTGGTGGTGAGGAACTGACTCCAAAAAAATGGCCGCCGGAGGTCTGCCTCCGGATCATGATTGGGTGTCAGCTCTCCTATAAAAGGAAGTCCCGGCACTATGGGCGTTACCCTGAGGAAGTCACATGTTAAACGTGACGCAATGCGTCGTTACGCGGGGAGGAACGTCCGGTAATGTGGTGACGTCATTTCCGGCGAGGGGGCCATATTGGATCACCTTATTTTAGATAACCATGAAGTACACCCATAGCATGTGGCAAAAAGCTGGAGATAAGACGTTTGAAATGTGAGTATATTACTTTTTAAATGAAATACTTATCCAGTAAACCGGTTACACTATGGAGGGTCTCTGCTTGTATTTTATTATGATCCTGGGAGGAGCTGGCTGCTAGTTTGGTGAAGGCTGGAGACGCTTACCATCAGTGAGGGGAATCCTGAGAGGAGTCTGGTCTTACAGGATCGGTTGATCCCTAAAGCGAGCTGGCCCTGTTGGGGTCTAAGTAAGGAGGTGAGGGGGCATTTCGGATATTGGAGGATTGGCACTTGTGAATCACGCACACAGCACGATTGCATGAGAGTGAAATGGGAGGACCACTATAAGCATCGTGGATTTTGGAATTTTTTGAACTAATTATTGGCTCACAGTTGATGTGCACTATTGTGTGTTTTTTCACAGTATTGAATTATGGTGTTTTATTTCACTATGTGCACTGGATATTCCCTATGAGAGGGAATTCAGGTATGACACTATCTATTGATTTATTTATGTAAATCTCCCCGGTGTGCATAACAAGGGGACTGTTTAGCATGTATTAAGTATATTTATGTATTTCAATCACTTATTTTTAGTTTTGTTAGCGCTACACTGTTTATTTAATTGTTTCATTCACTTATTGGGCATAAGGTTAGTGTCAGCAGCTTTGAGGGCAGGACTCCATTTAAGCGCAGGAGGTTTTTCATCATACTTTAAACAATGTTATACAGGATGGTTCTTATTCAGATTTTGCACCAGGGTCCAGAGATATTTTTTATTTCAGAACAATATGGCAATAGACTTCTATTAAGTATTTCAAATACCTGTGCTAAGAATCCAGATGCAGCCCTTAAAGATTCATCAAAAAGGTGTAGAAGTTGTAGAAACTTAGCATCATCATATTCAAAACGCTCTCCAAATACTATGGAACAAATCACGTTGCTAACTGCATTGTTAATAAAGTAGCAAGGGTCAAATGGGTGACCTGGAAATTTAGAAAACAATCAAGTTTTGTTTTATACAGCTATAAAATCATATATTTCAATACTCTTTTTACAGTAATAAATGTGCTACCATTATGACAGGTCCATGCCCCCATGACCGAGGTATTCTTGATATTACAGATTTCAGGAAAGCAATATTAGGCAAATGCTTTCCATTTCTGTAGTTATTACTCTTTGCAGATGGAAGCAGATGAGGTCCATGAGACAAGGTTAAGAAGGTCAAGAAGCTTATCTCAAGGTGCTAATGGAATGCAAGTAGACAAGAAGTAGGGGAAATCTATACCTCCCAACTGTCCCTCATTTTGGAGGGGTTTCCATCTTTGGAACCAAATCCTTCTGTCTCTTTCCTTCTCAGTAGGACCTCTTTTAGAGCAAATGTGTAGGCTTTCAAATTATTGTTTGAAAAAGCCAATATAAAGCAATCATAGTGATGCAAAAAAGCACTATTGGGTTTAGCCAATAATTCTCTTCTGCTTAATTTTTCAGAAAGTTGGGGAGTGTGGGAATGACAAGTAGCAACTCATATACAATTGTTGGTATGTAGAGTAGGGGAAGGATAGAACCAATATCAGATATTGAGGGAGAGCGAGGGGAAGAAATCTTAAAGTATCTGTAAAGGCTGAAGGTTTTTTATCTTCATGCATTCTATGCATGAAGATAAAAAAAACATTGTGTGCTGCTCCCCCCACAGCCCCTCACTTCTACTCACCTAAGCCCCTTTTTGATCCAGTGATGAGCAGTCCTCTCTCTCCTCATTGGCACATACATAGCAGCAGAAGCCATCATGTCAATCACAGCCAGTGAGCCATTGAGGAGAGAGAGTGGGGGGCGGGGCTGAGCCACAGCTCTGTGTCTTTTGGACGCAGTGAGTGGGGCACGGGAGTGAGCATGCACCAGTGCCCCCATAGCAAGTGGCTTGCTATGGGGGCACTGGTCAGTGGGGAGGAACTAGGATTGATAGCAGGGGACTCTGCACAGAGCAGGTATGATATGTTTGTTACTTTGAAATAAAAAAAAAAAAAAGCAAACCTTTAGATTCACTTTTAGCATATCAATTGGGAATTTAGTAGAGAAGAAAAATGTGATCATGTGATCTCTTCAAAAGACCCAGCAATAACAGTGTTCTTTATAAACCTTAATTTTTAATGAGCCCTTCTCTCCATTACCTAAAAATTATTAATTTGAGGTTTGTATGTAAGGCAATGGTCAGAGGTGTATCAGCTCCAGCAGAAGTGACATTAGGGGTCAAACAGAAATGTGTGACCTAATACATGTACTTGCTCCCATAGGGAACAGAACTGTAAAAACTGATAATGATAGATCTTTTTTTTTTGAAGCCATCATCGACTAGTATATACAGTAATTACATAAGGGACCAGGTGTATTTTTTCTGCTGTCTATTAACATCTAGGGGCTCCAAAGTATGGACAGTTGCACAAAGCACAGTAAACATGGTATTCAGTATTGTGTGTAAAGCGTTCAGAACAAGTTTATATTTTTTCCTACCTCTGTGAGACTTGAATTCAGTACACAAATACATTGCTTCCTCAGTCACTCTCTCCTCCAGAGACTTCTTCCCCATTCCAAAGTTTCTCAGTGTTGTCAGGGCAAACCTTCTTTGTTCTTTCCAAGACTTCCCATACTCAATGAATAGCAGTCCTATGTAGGATACAGGTAATCATGTATACTTAGTTAACTTCCCAGCTATTTCGTAGCAGTGATATATGTAATACAACAGAAAAAGATGTATATTTCAGACTCCCCATTCTGGTTAAATCACTGGCCTTGTGCTTTGTCATTTGCTTACATTTTTACTAAAATTATTGGGGGTTATGCACACCATAATGCAGTGAGCAGCAACACATGTATTTCCCTGCATTGATTTTAACTGGGCTGTCTGCGCACCACAACTCCCAAAAAACATTTTTATATTTTAATTTTTTTTTGTCCTCAACTCAACCCACAGAGCATATGCAGCTGTGTTTTGTGTTTGTTTATAACACAGTGGGGTTAAATTACTAAAACTGAAGAGTGCAAAATCTGGTGCAGCTGTGCATGGTAACCACTTAGCTTCTAACTTTACAGCTAGTTCCATTATAGCAGTTGTAAACCACAGTAAAGGGGAAAAAAATTCCCTGCAAGGCAATGTCAAAATGTGCTAGTATGCATCGCATACTAGCACGTTATGTAAAACTTACCTTAAAATGAAGCCCTCCAGCGGCGCGCTGCCACTGCTGTAGAGGCTTCCTACTCCACCCGTCTTCCTTCTGGGTTCACAAGCTCCGGCCATCTGAAAGGACGTCCCGCGGTGACTTTATTCCCACCCATTCGCACAGGAGTCCTGAGCCACAAACACACAGCTCTGAAGGAACGACACAGATATGCCCTTCCTTCAGAGCGCATGAGAGAAAATACCTTCTGCTCGTTTAGGAGATATTCATTCTACCTACAGGTAAGCTTTATTATAAGCTTACTTGTAGGTAAAATTAAAAAAGCGTTTACTACCACTTTAAGCTCTGACAAAAAAACTGGAAGCTGTTTGATTTCCACGCAGAACTGCTCCAGATTTTGAACTCTCCAGTTTTGGTAGCGCACTGTAGATGTGTGCAATGCATATCTACAGTGTGTTGCAATAATGCATTATGGTGCTTGTCATGGTGTGGACAATCCCTAATGGTTTCATTTTTAACCACAAGCCTGATTTTTTTGCTGCTTTTTTTGCTTTATCATTTAGATATAAATTCCAAAAACATTCCTATTTTTATATTTTAATATTTTTTGAATATTTTTGAGTGTAGTACCCCTTTTATGTGTTGAAATGGCCCTTTAAATGGAAGTTTATATCCGGTATTACTCGTTTTTGTTTTCAGTTGTCTATGATTATCCTGTGTAATATTTACGACAGCAATTTGTATTTGATAAACATATAGTAACAAGTTTGCAATAAATTAACCGTTACCTATTTGTAACAATCAGTTTGCTACATCGATGGGATATTGCGCTGATTGGTTTAAGCCGGCCGCATTGCAGAGTGCGTGCGGTATATATAAGATTAATATGGTGTCTGACATCTAAGCCGCTCCGTGAGGACGTCCTGGTGATGAAACGCGTAGGGCGGAGCTTGGATAGGTGTGACATCAGGACGCTCCCTGGTATTGCCGGCGGGGTTCATGGCAAGCAGGACTCATCTGTCCTTTGTGTCCTTTGTGGTCTGTTTGCGGATCGTTCATGCTGATTATGCTGGTGTCGGCGTGGCACCTTGTTTGTGAGTCTTTTTAGCTGTTTAATAAATGTCAATATTTTAAAACACACTGCACCATCGTGCCTTTTTCTTTATTATCCTGAGTGTGGTTCCATGAGTACAATGGAGAAGATGATCAGATAAAAGGTTTCCTTACCCATTGGCTTGGTGTTGCTGCAGGGTATTACTCCCAGAGTTTGGATATCCTAATTTGCTACAGAGTTTTGCTTCTAAAGTCTGGATACATCTTATCATCGCTCCCCGAGCAACAGTGTTAATGCTGGTTTATAATCTAATCAGCATTTAGCTCTGGTGAGTTTATTTCTTCTGGTGGTGGATTTTGATCACAGTGATATATATATTTCTTCACAATAAGTTACAGAGTGGAACATTTTTTGGACTTTACACATGAACTTTTTTGTTTATATTGCACTAATAAGTGTTTTTTGATTGAGTTATTATAGCGCATTCCTATATTTGTTTATATTACTTTTACCTTTATTTAGGGCTTTAGGTTTGCTGCTCATATTTACATAATTTTTATTTTTACTTTGGCGCTTTTCTAATTTGATTTACAGGGCACTTATACCCCCTTCCTGCCCAGGCCAATTTCCAGCTTTCAGCGCTGGCACACTTTGAATGACGATTGCGCGGTCATGCAACACTGTACCCATATGAAATTTTTATCATTTTTTTGAGACAGAGCTTTCTTTTGGTGGTATTTAATCAATTCTGGGTTTTTTATTTTTCTTAAACCAAAAACCACTGAAAATTTTTTTTAAAAAATGTTTTTTCATAGTTTTTGTTATAAAATTTTCTAAATAAGTGTTTTTTTCTTCTTCACTGATGTGTGTTAATGAGGCAGCAGTGATGGGCACTGATAGGCTGCACTGACTGGCACTGTTAGGTGGCACTGAAGTACTCTGATAGGCGGCACTGACTGGCACTGATAGGCGGCGCTGACTGCCACTGATAGGTGGCACTGATTGGCAGCACTGATTGGCATTGATAGGTGGCACTGACTGGCACTGATAGGTGGCGCTTGTAGCAAACTAGCTCCTCAGAGCTGAAAGCGGAGTTCTCCTTCAACCTTTGCTTTTGTAACAAACTAGCTCATCAGAGCTGGAAGCGGAGTTCCCCTGTTCCTTGCTGTATTTGAGGTCTTCCTCGAATCATTCCTCACATCCCCCCCTGCATTCCTGTGAGGCAGACGTTATCTTCTGGCAGATGGTGTGGGGGGTCACCAGGTTAAGACATCATGCATCTAGAGGCCAGCAGTCGGTAAGGGCTGTAAAGTGTACTTCCTCCCCCCATCTTATCAAACTGACCCGAGAATTGAACATTCCTCAGATCAACTGTATGGTTCATATCATGGGATATGAAGCTGGTAGTTTAGTTTAGAGTTCCCCAATGACCACTCCCAAAATGTGTAGTCCGAGCCCCCCCCTCCCCTTTTTGAGAGGGACTTGTAAGAGAGACAAGTGAGACACACTCACACAGAGATCTCCGAGGTAACATCGTAACAGAGGAGATCAAAGAACCTTTCTGCTCTCAACTTGGATTTGCAAACCCAGGCATATGGGCAAGTAACTTAAACCCTGTAATCTTCTTCCTAATTATCTCTTTGCTGTGTTTTTATATACATATATATATATATTTTTGTGACATCTCTTTGTAAATATTTATTTGCATCTGCCTGACGCTTTTAGTAATAAATCTTTCTTTCTGAAAGTGTTAAACTGTTTCTAAGCGCTTACTTGCAATTCACGAATCCCTGCCTTTTAAGAGACGCTACTGTTTGTTATATCTCTGTATAGCAGGTCCGCGGGCCGTGCTATAGAGATAAATATTTCAATCATTATAGTGTATATTTTATAACGGGAGTTTCCCAGTCTCCGACAAAAGTGGTGGTGGCAGTAGAGGGTTAGTGGCGTAATTAACCCGACCCAGTAACAAGCGCATTCAGGCTGCAGGTACCGATTGTAAACCATTAGCTGGGCAATTGCTGTGCTGGGTGCGGCTGAGTGTGGCCTTGTTACACGCGTCACACCGCGGTTTTAGATCGGCCAGTCCTTCGGTCACGAGTTTGGTGAGAAGGTCTGGGGTCTGACGCCGTAGGCGTGACGTATTACTGTTAGTCGCGGCTGTGCGATTGTCGCCTGTTGGTGGCGGCGACCGCGGGTCGTGACAGCGCTGACTGGCACTGATAAGTGGCACTGATTGGCAGCACTGATTGGCATTGATAGGTGGCACTGACTGGCACTGATGGGTGACACTGAAAGGCAGCTCAGATGGGCACTGATTTGAGGCATTGATGTGCACCGGTAGGCACTGGCATGTGGCCCTGATGAGCACTGACAGCTGGCACTGATGGACACTGACAGGTGGCACTGCTGGGGCTACACTGATCATCAGGGCACACTTATCAGTGCTCTGATGATCAGTGTAGATGTCCCCTCCGCGGAATGCCTATTACCGGCTCTCCTCTCCTCTCGAGCTGTCAGCGTGACCGCTCTTGAGGAGAGAAATGCCGATAACCGGCATTTCCCTGTTTACATGTGATCAGCTGTGATTGGACACAGCTGATCACATGACCAAGCCGACATCTTTGGCTCTTTCCATGGATCGGTGATCCGCTGTGTCCAAGGGACACAGCGCACCGCCGATCACCGCGCTGCGTGCTTCCTGAGCCGCGCATGGGCGGTGAGAATGGGGGGACGTCATATGACGTCCTCCCAGAACAAGAGAACCACCTTGCGCCCGTCATTGGACTATATGGCGGGCGGGAGGTGGTTAAAGTCACTGATTTCCTGTCATCTCTGCAGCTTAGACTTCCAAAAGGGTTTAAAAGCCAAGATGATGTAACTTCCTTTCTCTGGAGGGTTACTCTCACAGAAAACTCTTTAGTTCGAATGTGTGGCTGCTCAGCTCAAGGACTGTGTGGTCAAACAGTATTCTCACACATTTTCCTCACCTCAGCAACACAATATATAGTACCTACATAGTGTGTAATAATGTGCAGTAAACAAATGACTTTATAACACTTGCCCTTTAAACTCCCCACCCCCTGACTGTTGCCTACCTTGTGTAATGCCCCTCTAGGTTTACACAGAGAGGTTTGTTGTTTTTTTATTTTTTTTTGGATAGAGGCTGAACAGCAGCCTGGGATGAGTCAGCTTGGGAGTGAGGCAGGAGATCGCTTCAGGATAGGTTGGGAGGTTCTACAGGCAAGGGCTTCTGAGCCCTCCCACCTTTCTAGAAACTGAGAGAACTTTCTGGAACAGGGTTGGAGGAGGGGAGGAGGCCCAGATCTGCATATTTGAGGAACCTCCCTGGCAGGAGGCTGGGCATGGTGACCAGGACAACCCACAAATATCACAGAGCATGGGCAATAGTGTGCGGAGCCTGGTAGAAGATGGACTGAGAGGAAGGCTGGAGAGTGGAGCCTGGGAGGGAGCCACAGGGAGAGGAACCTAACTACAGGCAGGATGTCAGACAGGAGGATCTCTACTGCTTCAATTTCTCCTAGGGAGGACAGCCTGTTAGTTGGGAAGGCGCCAGCCAAACATAAGGTCTGAAGGCAGCCACTGGCCCACCATGCTAATGGGAAAAGGACAGTGTGAGTACTCCTACATCCCCTTAGCCAGATAAGGGGAGAGGGTGGTCAGGTGTAATACCTAACTAGTCCTCATCTGGGACTCCTTAACTGAATGCTTTTGGGACCTCTTGCTCAGGGATACCCTCATTGTAGCTGGGTGAAGAGGAGGATTCATCCGGGGATCTGAGGCGGTACACCAAAAGGGAACTACAGTGCTCCTTAAAGGCACAATGCTATATTTTCACTGGTCCATATTTTTGTACAGTGTTGTTGCTAAGAAGTTGTCCTCAAGTTCTACAATTCGTTGGGCATCCCATATACCCCTAGACCCCATCCAATTTAGTTACCCCTTAATAAAAACAACTAAAAAGCAGCTCAAGGACTGTTTTACTGACTCTGTGCATGTGGAGAAGTGAAGAAAATGTATGGGGCCTGGCCGTGCCTAGCTTATGGGGACCCAAACCCAGCGACTACTACAGGATAGTGCTATATTGGTAAAGAACTTACATCACCCACTGTCGCACTGTCTTTGTAACAAAAATGTCCCAATTGAATCCCTTGTTACTTTGCATGTGTGCCATAATCCCATTTCTGATGGGTGAGCCGCCTCACACGTGCACAAGAGGACTTCCCATGCTCTTTGAGGATGTATTTATTCTAATATTTCTCTGCTCCATTTTCTATTCCAATATTTGGATACAATTTTTCAAAATGGCAATAAAATAGGCATACAAATACAAATCTGGATCAACAGTTCAAATTGAATGGTATACACCATGTTAGACAATGATTGTCAAAAAGAGAGGAGTGCTCTGGCCACAAAACATTTAAAATACAACCATAGAAAGGACATTCAACATCAAGTTTAATGTTCACATGTATGATACAGGTATTCTATCCCTTAATTCACAGATAAGGCAGTGAGCAATTTACAGCAACATTTGTTAGGTTATTTATACAGCAGTCTAGGAGCCTATACCTGCAAAAATCTGACTATGATCCATGGAGTGGATAAATCCTCTTTTTGTATAGAGAATATAAAAGTAAAATAGATAACAGAAAAGGAAAAGAGAAAAAGGAAAAAAGGAGGGGGAAGAAAAGTCTCTGCTCCATGTTAATCACAAGTGTAACACAAGCAGTGAAGTGGGTAATGGGGGAGGGGGCAAGTAGAGTGGGAATTAGAGATGTGCACAATGGAAAATTTTGTTTAGTTTCAGTTTCATTTGTTAAGTAAATAACTTTGTTTTGTCATAAAATTATGCTAGAATGATTCTTTTTCGAAGGGATTCATTATTTCAGGAAAGTATATACAGTATTAGTATTTGTTCCAAATACATTCATATTTTTAGAAGTTCTGTTATTTTATTTCAGAAGATTAGCTATATTAGTTTTAACGTAATTAACTAATACGTATTAATTGGTTATGTTAAAAAAGCGGAACTGCACTGCATCTGAGCATCACAAACCAAAAATGCTTTTTAATTCATATTAATATGTAAATAAAACTCCCCCATCCATCCATGTCTTCATGCTTTATTTTGTTGAGAAATCAGCCTGAGCTGAGAACCCTTCCTCCTCTCCTGAAAACTCCTGGAATGTATGACATCATTTGCCTAGGCATGGAAACCAGGAAGTAACTGAAGAAATATAAAAAAATAACGCTTGCTGCAAAAGGATTAAAAATAGTCCATGTTGATTGATAGAGAGTGAAGTTTCACAGTTGCATTCATTTCCCTATTCCAAACTGACTTTGTTTGTTGGACCACATACATAAAAAATAAAAGAATGGTTTCTCAAGCTCTCAACCCCAATACCATCACAGTGTGTAGACTGAAATTTATGTGATGTTGGATAAGTATCAGTTAGCAGCTTTTTTCATATCAGAATTGCTATTGTTGCACCCATATTTATTTGTCTGCATAAGATCTTAATTGTCTTCAAATCCCAAAAGCTTTAGGTTTTGGTTTCAGAAATCTATTTATAACAGTTACAGTGGGGATGTCCAAAGATATAAAATTAAAAACGTACTTATAAAGATCTTCCTATTTTTAGTTTTGGTGTGAAGAAACATTTTTCATGTAAGACAAGTTTTATTGTGCATCTCCTAAAGTGTCCTTGGGGGTATCCTTATTTAGAGGTTACAATGTAAAATATATACATAAAAATAAAAAAGAATGGTCTCTCAAGCTCTCAACCCCAATGTAGAAAGAATCTTATTAGAATATTCATTCTACGCTCACTAGAATAAATACAAATGGATCCAAATCAATTTGGATTATTCATTATGTCATTATGTTATTTTGGATACCTATATTTCAAACATTAACAAAAGACTTAAACTATTGCATCATGTCATCCCAGAGAAATGAATGAATATTAATGAATTAATTGTTTTCGTTATAATTTATTTTGGCTTAGTTGAAATTTGTTACTATTGTGTTTCAGACATTTGGATACATCTGAATCTCCAAATAATGCAACTTTCGTCTAAATTTTGATTCATAACAAAATGAACTGCATGTCTAGTAAGATATGCAGTAAGAGAGACAGTAAAAGGGTGCTTTCTGTAAGGAGGGGTACACATATGTTTAGTTTGTGGGTTGTGAATTAGTTGTCTGCAAACCTGAAAAATGATTTAGGCCCCCTTCAGACCTATATATTGTGATAGGTTTATTTAGAATGGCAACACGACACACATCTACACTGCAGCACACCATAAGGAACACGCCTTGTGTTGTGGTCCATTGTATTAAAAAAAGGTACGGGGGGGTTTATATCTGTTGCCATGCAATGCCAACATAATGATGGTTAACACACCTGTGGTAATGCACAATAATGTATAGGTAGTAACACACCATGATGGACTGTAGAGGTCAGAAGGTGACTTAAGTGTGTATTTTTTTCTCATTGTGCACAGTTTCTTGCTTTGTGAGGTGGAAAACCTTGCTTTCTTTGTGCAGTATGCTCACCTTTTGCATACTTCATACTTTATTCACACTAAGATCAGGCTAAATGGGACCAGAAACTATTGCATTGGCTTCTACTTTGGTTTCCTTTTGGTGTAGATTGAAATAGTGTACTGTTGGGTCAGAATCAGTTAGAAACTTTTTTCATATCAGAATTGCTATTTTTTGTACCCATATTTATTTGTCTGCATCAGATTTTCATTGTCTTCAAATCCCCAAATCTTTAAGTTTTGGTTTTAGAAAACTATTTATAACAGTTACAGTGGGGATATCCAAAGATATAATTAAAAACATTGTACTAACAAGGATCCTCCTATTTTTTGTTTTGGTGAGAGGAAACCTTTTTTATGTGAAACAAGTTTTCTTGTGCATCTCCTAAAGTGTCCTTGCGGGCATCCTTATTTAGGGGTTACAATGTTAAATATATACAGACCAGGATATCAGTACAAAAACTGTCAATCAAGAATAAATTAATTAAGCTTAGGAGCACCCTGGTGACTTTCACCCACTACTTTCATTAAATAACCAAATTACTCCATACATGCATAACTCTTTCCATTCAGTAAGTTCATCCACCACTATAAGATGGAAAAAGACCTACCGTTGACTTATTCTTGACCTGACTATATACTCCACAGTAGGCAATGGAGGTGATTTTCTAAAGTCAAATACACTGTTCACTTTTCAAGTACAGTTGAGAATTATCTCCAAAGTTTAGTGAATGAGGTGAAGCTCTGTTGACTTCCATCATTCAATCATATGCAATCAAAAATTATGTTCCCTGCACCTTATGGGATATTCTTTGCAATGAAAAGCTTCACCATTTTCATTAACCACATGACCTCCAGAAGGTTTTACCCCCTTCATTATCTTGCATTTTTTGATATTCAGCACTGTGCTACTTTAACTGGTAATTGCGTGGTCATGCAATGCTGTACCCAAATGAAATTTATATCCTTCTTCACACAAATAGAGCTTTTCTTTGTTGGTATTTGACCACCACTGGGTTTTTTTTTTTAATTTTTTTGCGATTATATAAGTGAAAAAAGACTGAAAAGTTTGAATAATTACAGTTAGGTCCATATATATTTGGAC